GAACCTGGGAAGCAGAGAACGAAACAAAAAACAGTTGAGTTGGGGGCATTGCTTTGCATGGGGGCCGTCGCCCCCAAGGCCCCCACAAAAGAGAAGTGTATCAAACTTAGAGACAATCTGGAGAGCCGAACACTGGTAAGGCTTAGCTAAGGTCGGGGATTCGATGGGATGTGGCAGGAGCCACACAGCCCCTTTGATAGCCGGGGGTTGTGGTTGGGGGAGGGAACCTCCCCCACGCTCTTGCCCCCATCCCATCGAAACCCAAGGCCCCCACATCCACTGGCCAGAGTCAAACGGTATGCGCATTATATTGCGAACAACTTGCCGATTAGAAATATCACTAGAGGGTAAGAGGGTAAGAAGGATGGGAATCAGCCAGCTTAGGAAACCAAGAACGCCGCATATTCGAAGCATGCCCCCATATGTTGTGAATAAGCCCCATAGGGGCATCCCCCCCTTGCTGGGGGCGTCCCGTGGCAGCTATGCCCCCGCCCATCAAGACAATGCCCAGCAAACTCAATTCCGGTGTTTGGTAACAAACAAAAGTAATTCTAAAACCAAGTAACTGTAATTTATAGGTACTTTCTCAGAGAAATTTGTTAATATGAATCCCGTTCAAGGGTTAAGCTTTGTATTAGACAAACCCTTAAGCTAAAAAAGAATGTAATGCCAAGCAAGCTTATCGACCTAAAAGGCTATTCAAGTTCCCCTTTGCTCTTTGCTTGATAATGGTTCTCCAACTCTCTAGCCCCTAAGATCTTTATCTGGGAGAGATTGGATACATACCCTGTTTCGAAAGGGTACATACCCTATTGCGAAAGGGTACAACAGTTTACCAACCTTTTATAGCTGTTGGTGGGATTTCTAACAGGTACAAAGGTTGATGGGAAGTTGTTTGTCGTTTCGGAGTGGTCTTAATGTTTGCCGTACTGCTCCTTGGGGTGGCACCTCTGACAGATTCATTCCCCCTCTCCCTGACAATAGGAGAAACTATCAGTCTGTAGCCTCTTTGCTATCTAAAATCTCTTGTAACTTGTCACCAACCTGAGTTATCGAACCGTCTACCAGCCCACAGTTTTGCAGTGCCTTGAGCATTAAGTTCTTAACCTCTTGGAACTCGTCGTCCGAGAGAGGTTTGCTCTCTTTTTTAAACAGGCCCGAGCAGTTTTGCAGCTCACGGGAGTAAAAGCCAATGATTGTTGTCTTGCTCTGAAGCAAGGTGCTATATGCGTCTAACGTGGTGTCATCCAGAGTCTTTTGATTTACCTAAGCCCTAATCCCGTTAAAGGCATCAGCCTTAACCTGTTCTGGAGCAGATTCCTGCCCATCAGAGCCAGTGTTGTTGGCAAACGAACCAAGGTTAGAGAAAGTTTGGTGTAGTTTTTCGGCTCTTCTTATTTTTTATCGAGCCCGGCTCCACCTGATATTTGTAATCAGTACCGCCTAACCAGAATTTGAGCTCGAAGATGTAGATGTCTGCAATGAGCTGCGAAATGCCTAAAGCAATGGCATAAAAACCACTGGTGTTGTACTTGTCACCATACGATTGAACAGTCTGTGCCTGATCCTTCGGTATAAGCGAAAAGGAAAGCTCTCTTATAACCTTTAGCCGTGCAAGGTCAAATTGTTGGGAGATCTTTAATGTGCTGGGGTTACCACCCGTCACGGCCGCAAATTTTGCAATAATATCGGTTTTGGTGAAGAACCCAAGTTTTTCGTAGAATTCTTGGTTGAACAGGAAGGTCGTGTGCAATCGTATGCCAAAGTAGAGTCCAACCCCTACAACCGCTGGTGCTTCAGTATCAAGGTTACTTGCTTTAAGGTTCTGTGATGTGTAGAAATCGGCGTATGTCTTCATAAATGTCTTGGTTTCTACGAAGTGGCTTTAAATAGCACAATGGGTAAGGATAGCTCATTTATCAACAAGCCTACTTTATAGAATTTCACCACGACAGTAGTGTGGTAGTTAACAGTGTTTATTGGGACGTCGGCTAACGAAGTGGTTCTTTTTCTGTAATTCGGGCTCTCCCTAGCGGTTGGTAATGACAAATTCCGGTCGTCATAAGGATCGCCAATCACCCCACAAATAGGTTGAAGGACTCTCTCAACGTTGGGAGGGTCTGCACAAAACACCGTAGTCTTGAACCACTTGTCATGGTTCACATAGTTGGCGCGCACAATCCCATACGTGTCTGTAAGACTAGAAAGAGCCGCACACGAGCTTCGGAGCCTATTGATTTCAGCATCTCCCACCTCTTCATTTTTTTCCTTCAGCCTTACCTTTATCTGCGTCCGTCTAGGGCCTTGCTCCACGTTAATCTCACAGAAGACGAGACAGAGAGTTGGTAAATAGGTAGACACGCTGTCCCACCAGTAATACGACTCACCTACAATTTGCAAAGAGACTTCCTCAGCTATCTTATCGGGGAGCTCTTTGCGATCCTTTTCTAGCTGTTCCTTGATCTTGGTAGCATCCTTGGCTAAATTATCAACCTTCGCCGTTAAGCCCTCAAATCCTCTCCTTAGTGAGGCATTAAGTTGCTTGATAATCCTTTGCTCGCTTCGACCTATCTCGACAGAGAGCTGCCTTATTGTGGTGGCAAACTCTGATCGGAGGATAGCTCAAATGGCAAGCACCGAAGCCTCTATCCTTCCTGCCAGAAACAAGAGCGCCGAGGTTTCAGTGGCAACACCGCCGATTGCGGCAAGAAGGGCAAACCTTGTTGCTGTAGCAAACTCCTGCGAAGCTGCCAACAGGCCTTCAAGTGTTTTAATACTACCCACAATTGCAGCTTGCGACGTTTTAATGCTTGTCCCCGTCTGGAACCCTGACTCCCTGATTTCAACCCTAAACGCGGGCTGTGCTGTGCCAATTCGCTCCTCTACTTGAGAGGTACTAGCTCGAACCTCATCCTCAATGGTTTGGGTGATATCAGGAAATACCTGATCAAGCGTAGTACTGATTGTTTGCCCACGACGAATTACCTCCGAACGGGTGTCTCGAACCGCCGTTCGGGTTTGGTTGAGGGTACGCAGAATGGTTTCTGCTAGCCGCCTTAGTTCTGAGTCGTCAAACTGGTGGCTGCGGGTCACCGATCTGTCCACATTAGAGAAGAGACGATACGATTGGTGCGGACCGAGGTGTTGTTCTCGATCCTTATCTTTAATACACCAAGATCCTTATCTTTAATACACCAAGTTGAGGTTTGCCTCGATCTGGGCTAGGCTTAAACCAATGTTGAAGTTAATTAAAAACATAATGTGACTAAGTACAGAGGTAAAACCTATCAGGCGAAACCTGCAAAATGCCAGCCCTTTCCCGGTAATCTGTACAAAGACAAAAGACCTATCAACTAGAATGAAAACGGTCGCCGATTTCAGAGAGAAATATCCTTTCCCTTGTGTTGGTGGCTTGTCTTCCTCTTATTCGATCTAGAGTGAATAGACATCCTAATACAAAAGGCGTGACCCTATTACAGGGATTAAAACGAAATAGTCGGCTAATAGGCTTGGCATGCGCGAAGCTCCACAGGTCGCCTGCTTTATCCCAGCTTTGGGCAATACCCGCAAGAGTTGACGAGCGCACGTGCACTGGTTCCCTCCTTAAGGGACGGGACGACAGGGTTGCCCTGCAAGTGGTGCACACCGCAACGGATATCTTTATTCCCCTTTCTACTAAGGGTCCTTTTTAAAATGGTAACTTCTCTATGCCTTGGTATTAACATTTTCTTCTTATTACAGGATTATTTTTAATATAGCTTTTCTATTAGCTTTTGTAATCTGTAGATTGTTGTATTTGTATATATGATTGTGGACGCTGATGTTGTACTTGTTCACAAGGTTTTGCTTGCCGATAAAGCCTTCTGGCGCAGGGGAAACGGCGCATCTTTTCACGCACGCTCTCTGGTAGAAAAGCTATTATAACCGCCTAAACACCGTTTTGTTGAATGCAAATGTCTAGGTCAAACCCTTCTGATTGTTGGCCATACTGTACAACATCTGAATCACTCGATTGGTATTCTCTTTGAAGAGAATCCAGAGGAGATGTCCACCCAAATCTACCCCAAAAAATGTTATCGTAGAGGGTTGCGCCACATTTACCTGTTAGGTGTTTCACATTTTCTTTCTAATTTACTATTAGCGTATCTTTCCCCTTTGCGACGGCCAATGCCTTCACGAATTGGGTCTTAACACAGCCCCCGGAGATGATCCATTTCAACCTTATCTTTCGTATGGTTACCAAAGATGCAAAAAACTCCTAACATACCTAGCATTTATAAACTTTTTAACTTGATCGATGAATAAAAAGACACACTACACCAGCTGTTTCCTCAGATAGAAGTTTTCAACAAACCAACGTGGCTGTGTAAGCTTTCCGTGTCTAGGGGTCCTTAACATCGGGATACGGCCAGATCTTAATATTGTGGGCTAGTACCTTGCTTATGCCCCAATTAACGGTTTACTTGATGCCTAAGAAGTTTTTTTTACCGGCCCTATGCCATTTATGCCATTTTTGCAGCAAGCCAGAGAGAAGGAAAAGCCACTACTCTCGCGGGTTAATACCCATCTCACGCCAACTCTAGAGCTCGGTTTTGTTATTCTAATTTCTATAGCTCGGTTTTGTTATTCTAATTTCTATTAGATCTGCTATTGACGGCAATTACTTGGATCTTCTTGGCACAAGGCTATCTTCCCGCCCAGTTACCCAGGGAGTATTGTTACCCTTGCAGTGTTTCACAGCCGAGTTCGGGATGGATCGGCGTGGTTCCATTGCAACAAGTGCACCAAGAAGTTGATCCAGCAGCTTGCCTGCCCCATACTTCCGCATGGTCAGTTTCTGTTTTGTTCTGGTGTGTTGAATACACCAAGAATGGGTTTTGGGGGAGGGTTTCCTCGATGGCCGGGACGGCCATCGAGGAAACCCTCCCCCAGGTCTCGTTGTCGCTCGTTTCTGGTGGCTGCTGCCACTAACACCAGCAAGTGGTGCAGATTTGTTTTGCGACAACGGACTCAACGAGGTCAAACTCGATGGGTCTGTTAGTATGCCTCAGCTACAACCATTGCTGGCCTTACACTTGACACCTATCAAACAGCTTGTCTTGCTGTGACCCATAGCCTCGACAGAGTCGAGGCAGAGAGCACTCATCTTGAGATGGGCTTCCTACTTAGATGCTTTCAGCAGTTATCCGCTCCACACATAGCTACCCAGCGTGTCCCCTTGGCAGGAGAACTGGTATACCAGAGGTGTGTCCTTCCAGGTCCTCTCGTACTATGGAAGGCTTCTCGCAATGCTCTAGCGCCTACACCGGATATGGACCGAACTGTCTCACGCATGGTGAATCCTTCGGTCGGAATGGTATTCCGACTTTTGATTGACATTTCTGTCAAGGATTAATCCCTATGTTTCCATAGGGCATGGACTATATCTTCATCCTAGCGGGGCAAAACTGCCTCCTAGGAGTCGGCGTGTTATACCAACCTAAACAGGTTGCTATCTTGAGATGCGTATCCGTCTTTCCACATCGAGCTAAAAGCTCAACGGTTTGGATTTCTGTCAACTGATGGAAACCTCCATTACACCTCAAAGTCTCTACGGGGATTTGAATAATCGGGATAAGAGCCCAATAACGAGGAATTGCTGAGATCTTCTTCCTTCCCTAATTTATAGGGAATGAAATCTCCAGCTTTAGACACAAAGACGCCTATTTGCCTTCAGCCAAGGAGTAGAGCCCAAGAGAGCGCAATGTCTCTCGAACCTGCTCAGAATATTGCGTACGTCTCTTTCCGTCCGTCAACGATCCAATCTCGTCAGCAAGAGCACATGCCTCTAAAAGAATCGAGACGTCTTTAGTCTGTGGTAACTTCTCAATGATTTGCAAGACAAGATTCGCCTGTCGGTGCTTGAGCTTTAGATGGGGTAACAGCAGGCGCACAACTCTAGCAACCTCTCCTCCTCCAGTGAGACAGAATTCGGACATCCCATCGTTCCGCTTCCGAACAACCCCGGAGTTCAGGAGGTCTTGAATGTATAGAAGGATGTGATGCCTCTCTGTCCGTTGAAACACAGTGAGAGTGACCCGCACTTGATACTTCAGCTTATAATCATGCCTAGGTATAATTTGAGCGCTTATACAGCCATCGCCATCTATAAATCCTGCAAGCCAAGCCATCTTTAACTCGAAATCCATTACTTATGAAACCTCTTCAAACCTTCCCTCGGTATTGCCATATCAGCCAGTTCTGGTCTTTGAGATTTGACAGAAATGTCAATAATCTCAACTTTTTTTGCTGATGAAGGTTTCACCGATATAAGCCGATACTATCTCAACTATTACTAGTGAGAAACGCAGTGATGTTTACGTTCTGAACCCAGCTCACGTACCGCTTTCATGGGCGAACAGCCCAACCCTTGGGACGTACTACCGCCCCAGGTTGCGATGAGCCGACATCGCAATAATGTTAATTAAACCTTTGCCCCCCCATCAGAGGGGGTGGTTGCAACAGGCACTGGGAACTTGTACCGCATAGAGGGCAACAGGTGGGGATAGATGACGCGCCGGAGGTTATCGTAGGAGATGCTGCTTATGTAGATCCGAAGTCCGTTGCTCTTCGCTTGGAGGGAAGTCTTCAGGTCGTACTTTGCCGCCAAGATCGCTGCCAACTTGCGCACCTCGTCTGATTCAAATCCATCCGTGCAGAGCCGCACTCCTAAAGATCGGCCCTTCCACTTCTGTGCACCGTCATCCATGTACCAATATGCCAAGCTGCGGGGCGTCAACCACTTGTCAATGATTGGTGGAACCCTCTTCTTTCCATCTACGTAGAACTGTTTTCCATAAAAACGGAAGCAGCTGTGCTGTGTAGTGGCGAAGGCCCACCGCTTCGAAATATTGTTCGTTCGTTTGTCGGAGCTGTAGATGTACAGCTTTGGCGGCGTGTTGACAAGCGGCTTGAACAGCTCATAGAGCGCAAACAAGTAATCCTTGTTCTGTTCAGCCTGCGTTACCCTTAGCCTATATGTCCTACCATTGCTCTCTGTCTGAAGGTTTGCATCCCCTAGTAGAATTCCAACCAGGACCTCTCGCTGTTCCAATGTTAACCTCTGTGCCATGTTCAACCTTGTTTAACGCGGCGTCTGCCAGCTGATAGTATTGAGTGCCATCCCGGATGGGAGTTCGAAGACCTCAATCTCAGGCCCAGCTTCCACAGGCAGCGCCACCTCCCAGTCGCCTGGGAGATCAGACTATATCATCATCCTTGGCCCCGTTCTGGGGCACGGATGTTTGGCGTGTAGTCGTTGAGGGGTTGCGCCTGCAACCTCGCTGGTTGCTTTGCACGACTTCCCTGCTGATTATCCGCACTCCCTTGGTTTCACCATGCCCATCCCCTTTCTGATGGGGGTGGGGGGGTCTAGGGAGATACCCGGATGTCCCAGCATATAGCCAAATTGCCATGGGCCCATTGCTGGGCCCAGACCCCGATTTGAGGTGCCAAACCTTCCCGTCGATGTGAACTCTTGGGGAAGATCAGCCTGTTCATTGTGTTACCGTAAAGGCTCTTTATCCCTTACATCTCATAATTTCTTATGAGTTCAGACTATGTCATCAACTCTTTTTCCTAAAAAAAGAACAAAGCAGAAAAGCAGGCTGATACAACCTAAAAGGTTTACAAGACGGCTCATCCTGGGTAAAAAAGGAAAACAGTGCAGTTGTTGTTGCACTTTGAGTTGCTGGGCACTCGTGGGGAGATTATAGGTTTCATATCCGCACTCCCTAGTCGTTGAACGGTACCGCCTACACACTATCTACAACCACGTAGAACAGCGTTATGATTCAGCGATCTTCGCTGCAAATTGGCATACTTACTCGGCATGAGAGCCGTGTAAGGTTAGCTATCCTTGCAATTCACCCAGTTTCTTGCCTTGGTGTTGCCACCAAGCGGGACAACGTTTCATCCCTAGAGTAACTTTTATCCGTTGAGCGACGGCCCTTCCACTCGGCACCGTCGGATCACTAAGGCCGGCTTTCGCCCCTGCTCGACTTGTAGGTCTTGCAGTCAAGCTCCCTTATGCCTTTACACTCTACGGCTGATTTCCGTCCAGCCTGAGGGAACCTTTGCACACCTCCGTTACCTTTTAGGCAATTCTGTTGTCTCATCCAAATTCTTGTCTTTACCCCTGCTGACGCCTCCCTTCCGGGGTGGTGGTATCTTGTACCTTAACGATAACAGGATGTAAGGATTAATCAATGCAACCAAGTCCTCATAGCTGTAACCAGAGATAAAAATGCGGCAGTACTGCCGATCCTTCACCACCTTCGCCCGAAGACCAAACTTTCTTATCAGTATCCCACACAGCGACTCTTGCTCCCTCCTCGGCAAGCCATACACGTTGATGTAGATAGCTTTCGATTCCTTAGACTTCGTTCCACCGTCATCCATGATCAGGTAGGCCAGCGACCGCGCGGTAAAGGAGTGCTCTATCCATCGTGGTACCTTGCGGCCTTCTTCACCATAGAATGCAGAATGATAGAAGAGTAAGGATGTGGAGAACGCTGTGGAAAACTTAATGTTGTTGGAATTGGTTGCAGCTACTATGTTTCCAGGGGACCAGTCACTGAAGACCTGATGTAAATGCTCTACGTAGTCTCGCTTTTTGGAAGCTTGCTCAATCTTAAGCCTTGCGGATTTCCTATTTGGCGAAACCTCCATGTGGGCATCCCCCAGCAAGATCCCTAAGAGGATCTCTTTCTGCTGTCTTGTTATGGAAACCTTGGTTGGCTGTCTTGGCATGTGTTTTGAGATTCCGTCTTATTTGTGCTGTACCTTCTTATTGTAAGAAGTGGCAGCACACGCGGCTGATGGTCGCCCACCAGTTCAGACTCTATCATCATCCAGCACTTGTCTGGATGTCCGGCGTGTAGTCGTTGAGGGGTTGCACGTGTGCAACTTCCCTGCTGATTGTCCGCACCAAGGGATCGTTACATTTACCTCTTGCATCCTGTGTGCCCCTTACACCCCCATGCACCCCCTTAAAGGGGGTGCAAGGGGGTGTAAGGGATACAAGGGATGCACGGCTGGTTCTGTACCCTTGGATGCTTCATCCCTTCAACCCACAACGGCAACGGTTGTTGTTGAGTTTAGAGAACGGAGGTCCCAGCATATAGCCAGATGCTTCCACGTACATTGCTGCCCGTGAGCCCCATATTAAGGTGACCGCCCCAGTCAAACTGTCCACCTGAAACTGTCAAGTGTCCTGTTTCAAGGAGCACCATTAGAATTCTAGCCCCTCCAGAGTGGTCTCTCACTGATGGCTCCAGCTTTCCCGGAAGAGAGCTTTCATAGCCTCCCACCTAGGCTGCGCAAAAGGGGCCCAAACCCAATTCCAGGTTACAGTAAAGCTTCATAGGGTCTTTCTGTCCAGGTGTAGGAAGTCCGCATCTTCACGGACATGTCTATTTCACCGAGTCTCTCTCTGAGACAGTGCCCAGATCGTTACGCCTTTCGTGCGGGTCGGAACTTACCCGACAAGGAATTTCGCTCAGTTCATCCCCGACCTTTCAACCGGGGCTGGACTCTATCTTGGGATTGCTGGGCTCAAAGCCAAACGGCCGGACGGTATTCATTCGCCCGACGATGGTTCGTATTTCTTCGAGCCCTTCGAGGGTAAGGTGCTTCTTCTCTTCCATCATGAGGATCACCCTCCTGAAGCTCTCAAACTCCTGCCGTTTTTTCGATTTCAACTTGTGCTTCTCGAAAAAGGGAAGGATGTTGGCCATCAGATTGTCGTGTCCTCTTACCCTGTACCCCCATCGATCGCCATGGTTCCGTACCACCGACCCACAGCCGAATTTCGCCTTAAGGGCGTGTAGCAGCTGCACGTCGTGGACGTGTTGAACAACAACGAACTCTGGCAGGACCTGGAACCCTACCTTCATGGTGGGTTGCCAGTTGATGCCTACGAAGAAGCATCCCTCGCCATCTACGAATCCCACAATCCATTGTGGATCTAGGTTCATGGCTCCTCTAATTCAATCAATTTCTTTGAAATTGAGTGCGACTCAATCCCCCAAACGTATAGTCTCTGAGGGTTCCAGCGGTTGTGGGGGGGCAGTTGGGGGAGTTGGGGGAGGGAACCTCCCCCACACCCTCCTCCACACCCCACAGCCGCTGATCTTCCCTGCTGATTGTCCCCTTGTCTTCCAGATTTTTACTGCGGTGGCGCATCTCTCTCCCCCCTTACAGCTGGCCTTTAAGGAAGGCCATCGCTATACGGTGCTGAGGATAAGGTTTTGAACCCCACGAGTACTGTGAAGCTGTTGAGGAGTTTCCAGCATATAGTTTGGTTTTACTAAGGCTAGCGATTCTGTAAGAACAGCTGAGCTCTCTTAACCTTAGGACCGTTATAGTTACGGCCGCCGTTCACCGGGGCTTCGGTCGCCAGCTTCTTCCGAAGAATAACCAACTCCCTTCACCTTCCGGCACCGGGCAGGCGTCAGCCCCCATATCTTGTCTTACGACGTAGCGGAGACCTGTGTTTTTGGTAAACAGTCGCCTGGGCCTGGTCACTGCGGCCCCCTTGCGGGGGCACCCCTTCTCCCGAAGTTACGGGGCCATTTTGCCGAGTTCCTTAGAGAGAGTTGTCTCGCGCCCCTAGGTATTCTCTACCCACCTACCTGTGTCGGTTTCGGGTACGGGTCCTTCTTGGTGTTGAAGCAGTTCGAGCTTTTCTAGGAAGTTTGACAGAGAAAAGTGAACCCCACAAACCCGCTCCCCGGAGGTTGCAGCTTAGAATGGGGCCGTATCATGGTTCAGCTCAAGAATAGTTTCTCTTCTATCTCTCCTCGCCTCAGCCATTTCCACCAAAATCCAATTTTGGTCACCTCGTGCCTCCTTCGTCCCTCGGTGCCAACCAAGAAGAAGTACAGGAATGTTAACCTGTTTCCCATCGACGACGCCTTTCGGCCTAGCCTTAGGACCCGACTAACCCTCCATGGACGAACCTAGTGAAGGAACCCTTAGGTTTTCGGGGCATTGGATTCTCACCAATGTTTGCGTTACTCAAGCCGACATTCTCACTTCCGCTTCGTCCACACCGGTTTACACCAATGCTTCACCCTAAGGCGGAACGCTCCCCTACCGATACCAGCTCTTTATGCCGGTATCCCACAGCTTCGGCAGATCGCTTAGTCCCGTAAATTTTCGGCGCAAGAACGCTCCACCAGTGAGCTATTACGCACTCTTTAAAGGATGGCTGCTTCTAAGCAAACCTTCTGGCTGTTTCGGCATTCTCACCTCCTTTTCCACTTAGCGATCATTCAGGGGCCTTAGCTGGTGATCTGGGCTGTTTCCCTCTTGACAATGGAGCTTATCCCCCACTGTCTCACTGGTTGACGGAAAGACATGCCTAGTATTCTTAGTTTGCTACGATTTGGTACCGCTCTCGCAGCCCGCACCGATACAGTGCTTTACCCCTAGACAGCTCATGGCTCGTCAACCGCTGCGCCTCAACGCATTTCGGGGAGAACCAGCTAGCTCCGAGTTCGATTGGAATTTCTCCCCTAACCACAGCTCATCCCACGATTTTTCAACATCGATGAGTTCGGACTTCCACTTGGTGTTACCCAAGCTTCATCCTGGCCATGGTTAGATCACCCGGGTTCGGGTCCATAAGGAGTGACCTATTATCGCCCTATTAAGACTTGCTTTCGCTTTGGCTTCGGAGAAACTCCTTAACCTTGCCATCCCCTATAAGTCGCCGGCTCATTCTTCCACAGGCACGCGGTCAGGGCTAATGCCCCTCCCACTGCTTGTCAGATTACGGTTTCATGCGCTATTTCACTCCCCTTCAGGGGTTCTCTTTCACCTTTCCCTCACGGTACTTCTTCACTATCGGTCACCCAGGAGTATTTAGCCTTACGAGGTGGTCCTCGCTGATTCACACGGGGTTTCACGTGTCCCATGCTACTCGGGATAAGAAACAGATATCAGTGTCTAGGCTTCAAAAGTCTCTAAAGACCATTGAATCAGACAACTTCCATACCAATAACACAGCAACTGGCCTTTCGACTACTGGACTTTCACCATCTTTGGTGCAGGATTCAGCTGCTTCGTCTAGGCAAGTCACATATCACAAGCGAATCTACACTTAGTCTGGCATCGCTTTGCGATGCATTTAAGCCAAGTAGAAACGTTGATGCGTGCATACCGCCATTCTCGTCAACGAGTTAGGGGCTTTGGGGGCAGGGGATGGAGGAGGTGGTGGGGGGCTTTGCCCCCCAACTCCCCCAACCCATGCAAAGCAATACCTACAACTCGTTGAACGGGGCTATTTCCTCCCACGACCCCGACCCTACATGTAGGATCGGTTTAGGCTGATCCCGTTTCGCTCGCCGCTACTCAGGGAATCGCTTTTGCTTTCTTTTCCTCCGGCTACTAAGATGTTTCAATTCACCGGGTTGTCTCTCTCCTATCTATGAATTCAATAGGCAGTTCTAGAGGTTGCCCTATTCGGGGATCTCCGGATCAAAGCTTGTTTCCAGCTCCTCGGAGCATTTCGTAGGTTTCCACGCCCTTCTTCGTCTCTGGGTGCCTAGGTATCCACCGTAAGCCTTACATTGTTTGACCTTGTTACAAACACTTTATAATAAAGAAACAGGAAAGTCAAGCCTCCCAACCTTTCCTTCGTAGCCTGCCACCCTTGTCAAATCACTTGTCAAAGCAACCAGAGCTAAAAAAACAGATTGGCGAACTTGTTCAGGCCTAATAGATATTCAGCGTTTCACTGGAGAGAACGCCCTAATCTCCCGGGCCTTGCTTAATTCCATGTGCATGGGTGGAGGTAAGCGGACTCGAACCGCTGACATCTGCCGTGCAAAAGCAGCGCTCTACCAACTGAGCTATACCCCCTTATAAGATGCCTCTCAGGTCTCCATAGGTGAGGGGGAGAGGAACCCCCCCTTCACCTGTGAGGCTTCTAGCCGTTAGAAACCTTCTTGGCACACAATGAAAATGTGCCGCCCCTTAAACTGGGTTTTATGTTTCGGTGGAGGGTGGGCTATGCTGGATTTGAACCAGCGGCCTCACCCTTATCAGGGGTGCGCTCTAACCAACTGAGCTAATAGCCCAAACTACCGCCTTTTTACTTACTTGCCGGCTACTTGATTACACCTTTGGAAAGCAACGCGTTCTTTCCAAAACGGTCTTCTTTCCTCATCGAGCAGTTGGGGGAGGGAACCTCACCTACGGCCCTTTTGCCGGGTAGCAAACCAGCGGTTCGCCTATGCCGTTGGAAGGCAACACTATCGATAATGGATCGGCTAAAGTATTCTATCATTTTTGTCCAGCGAATACAACAACCATAACCCAAGACAACTATTGAGGAGGCAAACAGCAGTTGGCAGCTATTTCTCTCCTCTTGCATCCTTTCGGGATGCATGGTCTTGTATCCCATGCACCCCTAAAGGGGTGCAAGGGATGCACGGGCTGTGGTTGGGGGAGGTCTTGGGGGCAGGGGATGGGGGAGGTCTTGGGGGCAGGGGCCCCCATGCGCAGCAACTCCCCCAACCCATGCGCAGCAACTCCCCCACGCCTCTGCCCCCTCTTGCATCCCTTCGGGATGCACGGCCTTGCATCCCATGCACGGGTTGTGGTTGGGGGAGGGAACCTCCCCCCCTCTTGCATCCCTTCGGGATGCACGGCCTTGCATCCCATGCACCCCTAAAGGGGTGCAAGGGATGCACGGGTTGTGGGGGGCTTTGCCCCCCATCCCATCGAACCCCACGCCCCTGCCCCCATCCCATCGAACCCCCATCCCTTCGAACCCCATCCAGCGTTTCGCTGGAGGGTTCTGCGTTTCGATGGATGAGCTAAACGGCCCTTTATGGCACATGTAGCTCACTTGTTGCTAACCGCGCCTGTGAGAATGGACGAATCTAGACTACGCCAGCAGATTAAAAGTTCATTTCCGCAAGCTGAACTTTCTCGAACTGTTTCTTCTTAAGCACTAAGAACACCTGCGTTAACACAACAAAAGAGAAGAAGACAAGCAGGCCTTGGACACGTACAGGGTTTTGAAGCACAATTTCGGTGTCTTTTTGCCCAAAACCGCCTACATTAGGATTGTTGGTTAACGGTTGATCTGCCTGAACTGTTTGACCAACCTTCACAATAAGGTCTGGTCCTGCGGGTACTTTGTCCACAATCTGTTCACCATTTCCTGTTTCGATAGTAACTTCAAATCCCCCCTTCTTCTCGATAGGTTGGATTTGAGAAATGGTCCCAGTTTTAGACGCATTAAAGACAGTGTTGTTGCTTTTCGAACCATCCGGGTAGACCTGACCCCGACCCCTGTTGGCACCTAAATAGATTGGATACTTCAAGAAAGAGACGTTCTTGTCTTTGGAAGGATCTGGCGAAAGCAATGGGAACACCATCTCGCTGTATTTTTTACCCGGTACAGGTCCAACTACAAGAATGTTTTTCTTATCAGGAGCATATGGCTGAAAATACAGTTTTCCAGCTTTAGCTTTCATCTCCTCTGGTATTCTGTCGGCTGGTGCTGCTGAAAACCCCTTCGGAAGGATAAGGACTGCACCCACATTAAGGCCACCCTTTTTGCCGTTGCCAAGAACTTGTGTCACCTGCTGATCATATGGGATTTTTACCACTGCTTCGAAAACAGTATCCGGTAGCACTGATTGTGGTACTTCTATTTCAACTGATTTCTGAGCCAAATGGCAATTGGCACACACAATTCGCCCATTTGCTTCCCGTGGATTTGCGTAATTTTGTTGCGCAAAGACTGGATAGCTTTGTGCTGGTAGGTTAATTAAAAGGCCAAGCATCGCAACCAACCCTAAAGTTAGCAAGGTCGGTCGAATACTCGAGTATAATGAAAGCACCAACCCTTTTAGGTAGGAAGAAGTTGTAGAGAAATATGTTCTAAAAAGTTGCATATTGGTGAATGCTTGCAAAATAAAAGGAAAAATTTTCTTCTCAGTACCTACTATAGTAGCCTGAATTCTGTTGCAAGGGAAGTGGAGCCCGTTCCATAGGCAAACTCTTAATTGGTCTCATCCCGCAGGCCTAACAGATGTATAGGCCCCATCCCCTCTTGCATCCCATGCACCCCTTTAGGGGTGCATGGGATGCACGGGTTGTGGTTGGGGGAGGGAACCTCCCCCCTCTTGCATCCCTTCGGGATGCACGGCCTTGCATCCCATGCACCCCTAAAGGGGTGCAAGGGATGCACGGGTTGTGGTTGGGGGAGGGAACCTCCCCCACACCCCTGCCCCCATCCCATCGAACCCCACGCCCCTGCCCCCATCCCCACGAACCCCCAACTCGCTGAACGCGCGGGCCTGTTTGAAAAGCAATTCAATTTCTATTACTATTAGTAACAGAAATGAAAAAACAATTATAACATATAGGTGCAACCGTTCCTGCTCAAGCTCGCACGAGGGTTAACCCGTAATTATATGTCGTCACCACTGGACCGGTTTGGTTTAAGGGAAGGTTTCGACAATTCCCCCAAAAATAGGAAGGTAAAGGGGTTCATGGGGATGGAGACGGGGCGTGGGGTTCGACGGGATGGGGGTTCGATGGCCACCCGTGCATCCCATGCACGGGTGGCCATCGAACCCCCATCCCGTCGAGTCCACCTCTTTACTAATTTAAACAAATATGGCAGATATCAACGCTCCGGACCAGGCGAGACCTGTGTTTCCTTTTACAGCAATAGTAGGGCAAGAAGAAATGAAATTGGCACTAATCTTAAACGTAATTGATCCAAAGATTGGTGGAGTAATGATTATGGGGGACCGTGGAACGGGCAAATCCACAACAGTGAGGGCGTTAGTGGATTTGCTGCCAGAGATAGAAGTAGTAGCCGACGACCCCTTTAATTCAGATCCAGCAGATCCAGAATTGATGAGCCAAGAGATACGGGAAAGGGCAGAGCGAGGTGATTCACTAACAACAACAACCCGAAAAATTGCGATGGTTGATCTTCCACTAGGGGCAACAGAGGACCGCGTTTGTGGAACTATCGACATTGAAAAAGCTTTAACAGAGGGGGTAAAGGCCTTCGAACCTGGGCTGTTAGCAAAGGCAAACCGAGGTATACTTTATGTGGATGAGGTCAACCTATTAGACGACCACCTAGTAGATATATTATTAGATTCTGCGGCTTCGGGCTGGAACACGGTAGAGCGTGAGGGCATCTCAATAAGCCATCCAGCACGATTCATCTTGGTTGGATCTGGTAACCCTGAAGAGGGTGAACTGCGACCACAGTTGCTAGATCGCTTTGGTATGCATGCCCAGATTGGAACAGTTAAAGATGCTGAGCTGCGGGTAAAAATTGTCGAGCAGCGAGCAAGCTTCGATGAATCTCCAATAGGTTTTCGAAACCACTACCTGGGTTCTCAGCAAGAATTAACAGCTCGCATCGTGGCAGCGCGGAAACTGTTAGAAAAAGTCTCGATTGATTACGATTCCCGTGTAAAGATTTCCCAAATCTGTTCCGAGCTCGATGTAGATGGATTGCGTGGTGACATTGTAACGAACCGTGCGAGCCAAGCTCTCGCGGCATTTGAAGGCCGGACCGAAGTAACCCCGCAAGACATTTTCCGGATTATCCCACTTTGTCTACGGCATCGATTAAGAAAAGACCCACTCGAGTCAATCGATTCGGGTGATAAGGTGAGAGAGGCTTTTAAGAGGGTTTTCGCATATTAACAGCTATATGTCCCATCCTTCCCCTACCCCCGGCTGATGCAGGGGTTCGTTGGGATAGGGAAGGGAACCTCCCCCCTCTTGCATCCCTTCGGGATGCACGGGTTGTGGTTGGGGGAGGGAACCTCCCCCACGCCCCTGCCCCCTCGATGGCCGGGGGTGGCCATCGAACCCCCATCCCATCGAACCCCACGCCCCTGCCCCCTCTTGCATCCCATGCACCCCTAAAGGGGTACAAGGGATGCAAGGCCATCGAACCCCCATCCCATCGAGTCCCCCTTAGCACTTCTGCAAGTCCTTGAGGAAGGCCTAGATTAGAATAGGCCCAACGTTAAAGAAATGTCAATTGGTAGGGTAGCTCCTATGCCTAACCAAATAGACGCCAAAGTTCCTACTAGGAAGACTGCAGTTGCAACTGGTCGACGGAACGGATTCTGGAACTTATTGATATTTTCAATAAATGGCACAGTAAGAAGCCCAGCTGGCACGGCTGCCATAAGCAATACGCCTAAAAGCTTGTTAGGAACAGTGCGAAGAATCTGAAACACTGGGTAAAAGTACCATTCCGGCAAGATCTCTAATGGAGTTGCGAAGGGGTTAGCCGGTTCCCCAATCATAGCTGGGTCAAGAACAGCTAAACCAATAACACCGGCAAATGTCCCTAAAATAACTACTGGGAAAATATAGAGCAAATCGTTTGGCCATGCAGGTTCGCCGTAGTAGTTGTGGCCCATTCCTTTTGCCAATTTTGCTCGTAAAACTGGGTCTGACAGATCTGGTTTCTTTGTAACAGCCATGTTTAAAAATCCTCCTAATTTGAATTATTGCTTGCAATTCTGAGCGAGCCCATCAATAAGATGTCAGCTCTGTTATGTAATTAATAAAAACTCCTCGGAACGGTTTACCCTCCTTTAAATGCTTAACCCGTTCGTCCTTACGGAACGCTGACATGTCTCCATTCAGTGAATGGCAAAGGGTATACACCTCCGCATATCTGGCTTCACAGTTGTTCGACTGGAGGGGCATAGAGCTTTGCAACTATGAGTTGGCAATGGTGCAAACGTCTGTGCTGGGCAAAAACGACACACGATTACAGAAGCCTTTCGCTGCTCCGTTAACTTCCAAAGAAGGTGTTTCCCGCTTCCGGAATAGAATCTAGTCGTAAATAGGGCTTCGCTTCGCACCGATTTGTGGGACCATCTAAGAACGGAAGTATCTTACAACGGCCCAGAGATACCTTGTTTGCGGATCATCAAGAAATGCATAAGCATAAAAACCGCAGTAAGCAACGGCAACACAAAAGTGTGAAGGCTATAGAATCGTGTCAGCGTTGATTGTCCAACACCCACGCCGCCTCGCAGCAGCTCTACAAGAGTTGAGCCAACCACAGGAATCGCATCTGGCACACCGGTTACGATCTTAACAGCCCAGTACCCAACCTGGTCCCATGGAAGAGAATATCCAGTTACACCAAAAGAAACTGTGCAAACTGCCATAATAACCCCTGTAACCCAAGTCAATTCACGGGGCTTTTTAAAACCACCGGTCAGGTAAACACGGAAGACATGCAAAATCATTGCAAGGACCATCATGCTTGCCGACCAACGGTGGATCGAACGGATCAGCCAACCAAAGTTGACATCTGTCATAATGTATTGAACAGACGCAAAGGCTTCAGCCACTGTTGGACGATAATAGAAGGTCATCGCGAATCCAGTTGCTACCTGAACCAAAAAGCAGGTAAAGGTAATCCCGCCCAAGCAGTAAAATATGTTTACATGTGGTGGCACATACTTGCTTGTAATGTCATCCGCAATCGATTGGATCTCTAAACGCTCCTCGAACCAGTCATACACTTTGCTCATAATAGAATTTCCTTCGTCTTTGAAACATCACAATTAGTTTTAACCTCGACATCGAGTAGTACGTAGTACACAGGTTTCGCGCCTACAGATGCGAGAATGAGTGGGCCATTGCTTTCACCTTCATCTTAGCGGAAACTGTTCGCCAGAAGAACAACGCACCTGGTATATGGACTCGTAAGAAAATAAGAGATAGACTCTTAAGAAGTAAGAGGGAGACTCGATGCGATGGGGGTTCGATGGGATGTGGGCAGTTGCTTTGCATGGGATGCACGGATAGCCCACGAACCCCACACGGGGTATCCTCGTCCGCTGAACGATTAAGCCCTATAGGCTTCTCCGATGGCCGGGAAAGAACTCCCAGAGCATGAACCAATTCCTTGCAAAAGTGTATCGCCGGCTATTGGCTCTGCCCTCTCTTGGCTTGATTTGAATGCTGCCTAGTACGATTATTATAGCCTCTTGTCGCGATCTTCTCTACAAGTTCGTTATCTAACTTGCTTTGCGACGACGGGATCGGTGCTCTTGCCCTTTCTTTATTAAGGTGGCCTTCACTTGTTTGCGGTCAAAGTCACATTCGTTAAATTGTTGTTACACAACCACCTGTCCCGCCGTCGCCATATCAATTGGCAAGCCCATAACTTCCAACCGCCCCTTGACCACTTCTCACGCTATCGATTGCGGAAAGGGTGGACTCGCTGCCACTATTCGTCTTGCATCCAACGCTCTTGTTTGATACAATACTCCACATAACCTTTTTTTCTTCAATAATCTGGCCCAATTCTGCCTGAGAAACCTTACTCAATTTAAGAAACAAACATTCACCGCACGAAATGCAAAATGCCTGCTTAGCTCAGTTGGTTAGAGCATCCGTCTCATACGCGGATTGTCACTAGTTCAAATCTAGTAGCAGGCAGTCCATAGAAAACGGCTTCCCAAGCCTCCGAGAGGGTTGGTGTTTCACTGAACTGGTCAAAACGGCTGCTCGTTTATCAAAGTTGGAGCAAGAGAGTCTGGGCCGTTCTGCTGCCCGATTTGACCCTTAAATCTTCATCTTTTTGGAATGCCTGGGGTAATTCCTTAGGGGCAATCTCCCTCGGTAAAGCAAGTTCAGCAGAGGGTTTAGGCTAGACAGATAAGACAAGATGGTTTATTAGTTCAAGTACTGAATACCATCAGTAGTAAAATGTAGAGCAAATCGTTTAACCATGCGGGTTCGCCACAGTAATAGAAAGCGATTTCCTCCGTCACAAGCCACACATGCAAATCAAAAAAGCTAGCGAGGGTTCCCTAAATGTCCAGATTGCTGACAACCAGGAACTAGAACTTGATGTGCGCACCTATAGCCTGAAGAGGTGCGGAACGCTCGCACGGGCGAAGGCGGGCAGGAGTTTTCTGAGGCATTAATGTTTCTTATCAAGGTTGTGCCTTCTCAACTAACCGTCTTGAGAAGCGACAAGTTTTTAATACAAAAGCATTTTATTCCACAAGCCTCTTCGCAAGCCTGACCTCATAAACCGCGCAGGTCTGGCCATCGAACCCCCATCCCATCGAGTCCCCCTCCCCCAACCACAGCCGAACAGCTATGAGGCCTTCGAATCCTAGGCCAAAAAACCGCCATTCCATTTCTTTGCTCTGCGTGTGCATTGGAGTCCGGAACCGCAATTGACGGGGACATAGCAGAGGCGGAAGAGAGAAAGCAGAAGGCGACGCTGCAAAGGGCGCACACACCTTTTTATGAGGGGTTGCACCTATTTAATTGATAAGCCTTAGCTGCCAACCTTAAAGGCTTCGACAAAGAAGCCTAGCAACAGACCAATTTTGAAGCTGTTGACAATTCGGTAGATCACCTCTCTATTCGCTATGGCCGCATTGGAAGTAAGTTGCCGAGATCTTCCCTTAAGTGGCTGATATGTCAAGTAATTTGTAATTTCTACGAAGAGCACAATTCCAAGGATAACAAAACCATCCCAAGAAACGGCGTCGCGAAGCACATTTAAGAATGTACCAAAGATGTTAGCTAATAGAAATCCAAATAGCAGTGAGAACAGAATTAACGAGAAGGAATCCCGAAAAGGCCTGATCCGATTTTGAAATGACAGAGCAACTTGTCTCAAAAGATATGCTACCCGAGGCCTCACAGGTGAAGGGGGGGAAACCCCCCCAAGGCGTTCCGTCGGACGGTTGTTTGCCATAGTCTAGGACATAAACAATTTTCGATTCTAAAGGCATTGCCAATGCTAGTTACCCATCCCATGACCCATAATGAATGCAACCTAAAGGGTGCTGGAAAAATCCATCTGATGGAACATCGAACAGGTTCAGCGAGTTGGGGGTTCGTGGTGATGGGGGCAGGGGCGTGGGATTCGCTGGGATGGGGGCAGGGGTGTGGGGGAGGTTCCCTCCCCCAACCACAACCCGTGCATCCCTTGCACCCCTTTAGGGGTGCATGGGATGCAAGGCCGTGCATCCCGAAGGGATGCAAGAGGGGGGAGGGAACCTCCCCCAACCACAGCCGAACCTCTGTGCGGCCTATGAGGCCTGTCCGCTGGGGGGATGGAACCCATTCAGCAAAACGACGAATTGCAGTGAGGCCTGTGCCTGCGAGGCTTGTAAAGCGTTGTGAGCCGAAGGCCTTCTTGTTGAATAGAGATCTTTCAACACCTCAAGTTTTCCTTTATGAGGCGCTGGGGTTCGATGGGATGGGGGCCCCTACCCCCATCCCATCGAGCCCGTGCATCCCTTGCATCCCTTGCACCCCCTAAAGGGGGTGCATGGGATGCATAGGATGCAAAAGGGGGGGAGGGTACCTCCCCCATCCCCCCACGTCCCTTAATTGAATTTATATGCTTTAATTCGTCCAAGTTGTTTGCCCTCGGTCAGACTCGAACTGACACGCCAAAGGCGCTAGATCCTAAGTCTAGTGCGTCTACCAATTCCGCCACGAGGGCCTGCAAACTACTGGTCTTTCTTTTGACAAAGACTATTGACCTACAATTATATCTCCCCTAACCTCTCAGTGTCAAGCCAGGATTAGGTGTCATCAGCGCCAAAATTCTTGGTCGAGAGATTAGGCGGAGTGCCGATGCATTTTTAATGCAGGTACACACTTTTCTACTAGTTAACGCAACTCCCCATCTACCCAGACTAGCATATACGCTCCAAATGGAGCGGAGTTTGTAAATGTAAGCATAGGTAGCAATACTATTAATCTTCATCTAATCCCAGAAGAGTAAACAGTATGTGCAATTTAGGGTGATTTAGGATGGTCTTCCCCCCAAATCTCTCCATTCCAGCCAGGTACTTAAAATGTTCTTAGCGTGACTACAAGCTAGATATTATGTTAAGAAAAGTTTTAGCTGATTCGTGTCTCGTGGTCTTAGCACAAATTTATTTTTGTGGTTTACCGCTTTTGAATTACAATACACTGTATTAGTGAAACAAACAATTATATGCCTTTTTTTAGCTCTGTTATGAGGAGTTAGTTTTGCTTGACCTTCCACCATCGCCACCTTATCAGGCGAACTTCGGATGTGTAATGTGTAACCGTCCGCCAGCGCGTTCGTCGATCTGTCGAGTGCGTTCAGAGAAACCCTGAATTAACGGTTAGGAGGATTTTCTTACTAATCCAACTTGAAAAGCCAATTCGATTGAGTTCGATCAACAATCATTAGCTTGATAGCGGGTGTTCGTTGCGCACTGTTTTATCTACGCAGCCGACCTTCCAGACCTTACAGCCTTGGGGAGGGGGTTCCCCCCCCCAAGCTATAAGGCCTGGGAGGCCAAAGCAAAACATCCAAAGCCAGACTGACCTAGTAGGTTGAACAGCCCCTTACCGGCAGGCCGGCGGGACGGGTCTTTGTATTCAGGCAAGCGACTCTGCAAGCTTATTACAGTTTGTCAATTGTTTCGAATTCGAACTTGATTTCTTTCCAAACTTCACAAGCTGCAGCAAGCTCTGGGCTCCACTTGCAAGCTGCGCGGATTACGTCACCACCCTCACGAGCAAGGTCACGGCCTTCGTTGCGGGCTTGTACACACGCTTCAAGCGCTACACGGTTTGCTGCTGCACCAGGTGCGTTACCCCATGGGTGACCAAGAGTACCACCACCAAACTGTAAGCAAGCGTCATCTCCGAAGATTTCTACCAGTGCAGGCATGTGCCATACGTGGATACCACCTGAAGCAACTGGCATAACACCAGGAAGAGATACCCAGTCTTGAGTGAAGTAGATGCCTCGGCTTCTGTCTTTCTCAATGTAGTCGTCACGCATTAGGTCAACGAAACCTAGGGTTACCTCACGTTCTCCCTCAAGTTTACCTACAACGGTACCTGAGTGAAGGTGGTCACCACCAGACAAACGAAGAGCTTTTGCAAGAACACGGAAGTGCATACCGTGGTTACGTTGACGGTCAATAACAGCGTGCATCGCACGGTGAATGTGAAGCAAAAGGCTGTTGTCACGGCAGTAGTGTGCCAATGAAGTGTTTGCAGTGAAACCACCAGTTAGGTAGTCATGCATAATGATTGGAACACCAAAGTCTTTCGCAGACTCAGCACGTTTTAGCATCTCTTCACAAGTACCAGCAGTCGCGTTTAGGTAGTGACCCTTAACCTCACCTGTCTCAGCTTGAGCTTTATAAATAGCTTCTGAAACAAAAAGGAAACGGTCTCTCCAACGCATAAATGGTTGTGAGTTTACGTTTTCGTCATCTTTCGTAAAATCCAAGCCACCGCGCAAACATTCGTACACTGCACGCCCGTAGTTCTTAGCAGAAAGACCTAGTTTTGGCTTGATGGTACAACCCAACAAAGAACGGCCGTACTTGTTTAGTTTGTCACGCTCAACCTGGATACCGTGAGGCGGTCCTTGGAAGGTTTTTACGTAAGCAGGTGGGATGCGAAGGTCTTCAAGACGCAATGCACGAAGTGCTTTGAAACCGAAAACGTTCCCTACAATAGATGTAAACAAGTTTGTAACTGATCCCTCTTCAAAAAGATCTAGCGGGTACGCAACATATGCGATGTATTGGTTGTCTTCACCAGGAACCGGCTCGATGTCATAGCAACGACCTTTGTATCTGTCAAGACTAGTCAAACCATCAGTCCAAACTGTAGTCCAAGTACCAGTTGACGATTCTGCTGCAACCGCTGCACCGCACTCTTCTGGCGGAACACCTGGTTGAGGTGTCATACGGAAAGCAGCCAAGATGTCTGTTTCCTTTACTTGGTAATCTGGAGTGTAGTAGGTTAATCGGTAATCTTTAACACCTGCTTTGAAGCCAGCACCTGTTTTAGTTTCAGTTTGTGGAGCCATTTGTCACACATCAGTTTAAGTTTTTGACGATCATACAGTCTACCCGTTTCTTTGTGGCCTTTCCTCAGTCTCCTAGGACTTACCAGGAGATGGGGGAGGGTCTTGGGGTTCGTAGGGATGGGGGTTCGATGGCCACCCCCGGCCATCGAGGGGGCAGGGGCGTGGGGGAGGTTCCCTCCCCCAACCACAACCCCAACCTTGGCCAGGGACTGTGGAGGCCTCTGCCCCCATCCCATCGAGCCCGTGCATCCCATGCATCCTAAAGGGATGCAAGGGATGCAAGGGATGCAAGAGGGGGGCATGGGATGGGGGAGGTCTTGGGGGCAGGGGCCCCCATGCGCAGCAACTCCCCCATCCCTTGCAAAGCAACTCCCCCAACCCAGCTGTTGAAAGCCGTTCAGCGATGGTCCGCAAGCTTAAGCAGTTGCCTCAAGAGAACTTGTGGGAACTGCCAGCTATTTAAATAGTATCACTAGTTAATCTTAACCTATCCTTGTTAAAAAAGGGAAACTCATAACCTACTCTTGTAGGCCGGGCAACTCTATAGGCAGGGCCCGTTCAGCTAGTTAGGGGTTCGTGGGCCACCCGTGCATCCCTTGCACCCCTTTAGGGGTGCATGGGATGCAAGGCCATCGAGAGGGCAGTCGCTTTGCACGGGTTGGGGCCCCTGCCCCAACGGGCTGTGGGAGCCGTGGGGTTCGTGGCCCCCCCCCCTCTTGCATCCCTTGCAGGTGCATGGGATGCAAGAGGGGGGTAGGGGATGGGGGAGGTCTTAGGGGCAGGGGCCCCCATGCGCAGCAACTCCCCTATCCCACGCAAAGCAACTGCCCCCATCCCCACGAACCCCAAGGCTCCTTCAGCTAAATCCGCCCTAAAAGTGGCTTCACAAGCCTCACACGTGTTTGGCAGTTTGTTACACCTTACGTGAATAAAACTCAACAACCAGAAGCTCATTCAATTTTAAGCCAACGGATTGACGATCGATGTTTGCCGTTACTGTTCCAGTTAAGGTCTCTTTGGTGAAGGTCAAGTGAGGTGGAACAGATGATCGGCCCGATTCTTCCATAAAACGGGTCACCAGTTCACGCGATTGTTTTCTTTGTTGAATAGAAATGGTGTCCTTTCCCCTACATTGGTAACTTGGGATAGTTGCCTTTTGATTGTTTACAAGGACATGACCATGCCGGATTAATTGGCGCGCAGCAGCAATAGTTGGCGCAAGGCCTAGGCGAAAAACTGTGTTGTCAAGACGCATCTCAAGCAGTTGGAGCAATATCTCGCCTGTCGACCCTTTTACGCGACGAGCTTCTCGTACATAGCGAATAAGCTGGGATTCTGTAATGCCATAATTAAAGCGCAACTTCTGCTTCTCCTGAAGCCGTATCCCATACTGGGACAATTTCTTTGGTGCCTTGCCGTGTTGGCCGGGTGGGGCCTGTTTCTTGGGTGTTTTTGGTGTAAACCCTGGCAGTTCCCCAAGCCGACGGACAACACGCAGGCGTGGACCACGATATCTAGACATAGTTGCGTTGTATTTCGTAATAAGTAAATTGCTTCTCTTTAAATTTCACCTCTCATCAGGGGGGGTTCGGCTGTGGTTGGGGGAGGGAACCTCCCCCCTCTTGCATCCCATGCACCCCTTTAGGGGTGCAAGGGATGCACGGGTGGCCATCGAACCCCCATCCCATCGAACCCCACGCCCCTGCCCCCAACTCGCTGAATGGGCTGTGGGATCCCTTCCCCATCCCATCCCCTCGAAGGCCTTGCATCCCTTGCACCCCTTTAGGGGTGCAAGGGATGCAAGGCCTTCGAGGGGGAGACTAACTTTTTGTGAAACCTCCGTAGGGCTGGGTTTGCTTGCTCCAGTGGTGTTCTACAACTTGTATTTTAAAACATAGTGCAGTAAGAGCCTCCCGTGTGGCTACTCAGGTGTTAATGACCCTCAAGGGGGCTTCACCATGTTCGAGCCGGTTAAGGAAGAGTCTACCAACCTTCGAGCACCGGGACGAAACAGGTAAGTGGTTGGATGGTCGGGCATCTGTTAATGTGTGTTTTCATTACCATGTCACTCTATAAGGATATCACATGTGAAACCACAAACACAAGAATCGTTGAATTGGGATCGCACAACGGTATCCCTTGAATGGGCCCGCATCGTCATAGGCATAGAAATTTCGTCTGTCCTCTATGTGGTAGAGCGAGCGGGGGTAGAGGTGAAACATGGCTAAAGGGGGCGTTAAGGAATTGGAATTGTAAATAACTTTTTTTTGCCCATGTGCAAACAACTGCCTCTTGATGGCTAAGGTTTCTTGTTGTATTAGGGTATGAACAACACTTCGGTGGTGACGCGACAAAACTGTGGACCTATCGCCGTTCTCCAATAGGGGCAAATCGACCTTCAGGGCCATTTAACGAAATGTCATTGGCCGTAGATGCAGGCCTTCCAGGCGTTCGGCTGTAGGGGCCTTGGGGTTCGTGGGGATGGGGGTTCGTGGGGATAGGGGTTCGATGGCATGGAGGCCCCCCCTTCAATGGCCTTTGGGGCCCCTGCCCCAACGGGCTGTGGGGGCCGTGGGCTCGATGACCGCCCCTGGCCAAGGTCGGGGTTGTGGTTGGGGGAGGGAACCTCCCCCCTCTTGCATCCCATGCACCCCTAAAGGGGTGCAAGGGATGCACGGCCGTGGGCGGCCATCGAACCCCACGCCTTTATGCGATCTCTTCTTTTTCAATATAAAGGAACAATGATGCCATAGCAATAGCTGGGAACACAAGCCCTACTAGCGGAACTAGAACAGATGGTAAATAAGCAGCAGCCATAAAAAACTCCTTGTGAGAAATCGTTGTGGAAAAAGCCTCCTGCCCCCTTGTTAGTGGGGGGCGTTTGGGAAGGGGACCATTCAGCAAAACGCCCCTCACAGGCCTGCCGACTTAACGGAGCACCAGACCTTGAGGGGGTTGTAAGGCCATGCACATTTAGTGACCCCCTACTGGCTGGACCCCCTAGGGCATGCTGTCGCCGTTCTGTTACCTGCGACATGCATTTGCCTTTCGCGGCAGACAGTGAAGAGTCACCGATTGCCAACCTCCAACCGAGCCGAGGCCTTAAGGATCACTTAATGGTAAGCCCCACCGGATTACCCCTTTAACAGCAGCAAGCTTCGCATATAAAGGCCTTGCATTACGTTGCTAAAATGAGGTCTCCAACCTCGGCGTAGATGAAAACTAGCTAAAGTGGCGTGTACGATACTTGCAGATATCTGTATTATACCCTGTTCTCCAAAAAATATTCGACACGATTCCTTATTCTGCATTCTGCCCGAAACGCCACGGCGTTGGGTGGATTTCGGACAACAAAAAAAATGAGCGAAGTCTTATTCTCCTTGCTTTTTGCGAGTTAGATGTCCAAATTGCTGCCTCTTTAAGCGAATTTGGACTTCCATACCACTCCCCATTCATTAGAGCGGGTCTAATAGTATAGGGAAGAGCCTAACCATATTAAAGCATTAATGCCAGAGCCATAAAAATGGGAGAGAAATAGTGTACCTAATCTTTTGTGAAAGAGAGTCTGTAGTCGATGGCCCCCTATCAAATCCTCCGCTAATCGTGCATCAGTGTATCGAAAGCCCACTATCGGAGTTGAACCGATAACATTCGGTTTACAAAACCGATACTCTGCCAATTGAGTTAAGCGGGCTGAAAGGACTTACTTTGCTTCACGCCACTTCAGTCTTTTATTAAGGAGAATTGGGGCTTTAATCCTGGTTAAATGGGTGCTTTGACAGCGGGCCATCCAATAATGATGCACCATTCCTTGAGAGATAGACAACCACCTAATAGCACTGCTGGTTCAGCTCTGGTACAAGGTGCGCTTAATTTTTAGACACGTAGTGCAGCACTTCCAATTGTACCACAACAGAATTGTAAACGCAATAATCAGTAATACTTTCTTACCTAATTTTCATGTTGTTCCACAGGCCTGATCCGGGTCCGTTCAGCGAGTTAGGGGCAGGGGAGTGGAGAAGGTCTTGGGGACATGGGATGGGGGAGGTCTTGGGGACATGGGATGGGGGAGGTCTTGGGGTTCGTGGGCCACCCGTGCATCCCTTGCACCCCTTTAGGGGTGCATGGGATGCAAGGCCGTGCATCCCGAAGGGATGCAAGAGGGGGGCAGGGGATGGGGGAGGTCCCCATCCCATCGAACCCCACGCCCCGTCTCCTCATCCCCCGCGGCTAAAATCTTAATAGTTTAGTTTTGGGGTTAAGCGTGTTCCCTTACCAATTCTATCCCGCAAATAATATAATTTTGCTTTACGAACCTTTGCACGTCGAAGGATTTCAATGTTCTTAATTAAGGGAGAATGAATTACAAAAACACGCTCTACCCCAACTCCTTGAAAGACCCTGCGGACAGTAACAGTTGTGTGAACCCCCGCCCGATGTTGTGCAATTACCGTTCCTTCGTAGGGTTGTACACGTTCCTTGTTTCCCTCTTGGATCAAAACCCCTACCTTAACTGTATCACCAATTGATATTTCGGGCAAACCCTGCTTAGCAAGGGTTGCCTCGATAGCTTCTACTAATTCTTTAAGTTTCATAAGCTTACAGCTTTATCCCTTTTCAATTTTATTAGTTAATCCCATCGTCAGCCCAAAGAGCCAAGTTAATAACTGGGCCATGCCTAACGAAACCCGTTTGACCATGCCTAACGAAACCCGTTTGACCATGCCTAACGAAACCCGTTTGACGGAGTCTCCTTTCCCTCTCTTGCATCCCTTCCATCCCAAAGGGATGGAAGGGATGCACGGCCGTGAGCTGTGGGGTCCCCTCCCCATACCATCGAAGGGGCTTGATGGGTTGGGGCAAGAGCCCTTTCGATGGCAGTGAGTTGTGGGGGCCGTGGGGGTAGGGGCCCTCCTGCAAAGCAACTGCCCCCATCCCGAAGGGATGCACGGGTTGTGGTTGGGGGGGGGAACCTCCCCCCTCTTGCATCCCTTCGGGATGCACGGCCGGGGGTGGCCATCGAACCCCACGCCCCTGCCCCCTCGATGGCCTTGCATCCCATGCACCCCTTTAGGGGTGCAAGGGATGCACGGGTGGCCATCGAACCCCCATCCCATCGAACCCCAACCCACAGCCGAACCCGTACAGTGGAATGCCGAACCGGTCCAGCGGTTGGGGGAGGGTATCTCCCCCACAGCCGACCCCAGGTGAGACCTATAAGGTCTGTGAGGCTAGCTCACGGGGTAGCATCACCTTAGCAATATTATACGAGATCTATAGGCGATGGGGGTGATAAGGTTACATTGGGAAATTCCGGGGCTGTAGAGCCTCTATCGAAGCCTTGCCCATAAGGTCGCAAATGTCAGCCGTGTTGCGTTACTGCAAAATTGTGGCAACTAGCCCAGCGCCAACAGTGCGCCCCCCTTCCCGGATTGCAAACCGCATTCCCTTCTCGATTGCAATAGGCTGAATAAGCTCAACAATCATCTTGATCCTATCGCCAGGCATTACCATTTGTGTCGCGCTTCCATCATCAGCGCGGAAAGATTCGATCTTTCCAGTCACGTCGGTTGTACGAACATAAAATTGAGGCCGATATCCTGGGAAGAAAGGGGTGTGTCTTCCACCCTCTTCTTTCTTTAGTACATACACTTGGGCCTCGAATTTTGTATGTGGCGTGATGCTTCCAGGCTTAGCCAACACCATTCCACGTTCTACGTCAGTCTTCTGTATTCCGCGTAAAAGAACACCAACGTTGTCCCCCGCAACGCTCTCCTCAAGCGTCTTCTGAAACATCTCTAGACCAGTTACCGTTGTTGCACGCGTTGTCGCAAGACCCACGAGCTCCACAGATTCACCCACCTTGACTGCCCCTCTCTCTACACGGCCAGTAGCTACAGTGCCGCGTCCCGTGATTGAGAAGACATCCTCAACCGCCATAAGGAACGGTTTGTCTGTCTCCCGTTCTGGTGTAGGAATGTAGCTGTCTACTTGTCGCATGAGCTCGTATATTTTGTCCACCCATTTGTTCTCGCCCGCCTTTAGCTCTGGATTCTCGGTTAAGGCCTCTAGCGCCAAGAGAGCAGATCCAGCTACAATTGGTATCTCATCGCCGGGGAATTCGTAATTGTCCAAGGTTTCGCGAACTTCAAGCTCCACCAGCTCTAACAACTCCTCGTCATCAACCTGGTCTTCCTTGTTCAAAAAGACTACTACGTTAGGCACACCAACCTGCTTCGCCAACAGAATGTGTTCCTTGGTTTGCGGCATTGGTCCATCAGCTCCTGAAACAACCAGGATGGCACCGTCCATTTGCGCTGCACCTGTAATCATATTCTTTACATAGTCGGCATGCCCTGGGCAGTCAACGTGCGCATAGTGCCGGTTCTCGGTTTCGTACTCTACATGGGCGGTGTTGATAGTGATGCCTCGTGCCTTCTCTTCTGGAGCTGAATCGATGTCATCGTATTTTCTGCCTTTACCGCCACCTTGCGAGGCCAATGCCATTGTAATGGCAGCAGTTAAGGTCGTCTTTCCGTGATCAACATGGCCAATGGTACCAATGTTTACATGAGGCTTCTTCCGTTCAAATTTTCCACGTGCCATAAAGATTAGATTCCTTCTGTTTTCAAAAAGTTAAAGTGTATGGTATTTGATTCTGATTTGTGACAAAGGTCCTTCAGGCCCAGCCGCTATGCCCATTAGGCACGGTGGTCGGGTGAGCTTCTAGAACCTGCTTGTTGCAAATGCCTTATTTGCCTCGGCCATACGATTGACCTCGTCTTTCTTTCTGATTGCGTTCCCCATGTTCTTTGAAGCATCTAAAAATTCATTCGTCAATTTAGAGATCATGGTTCGGCCAGATCGATTTCGACATGACGCAATTATCCAACGAATTGCAAGGGCCGTTCCGCGCTCTGGGCTCACCGGAACCGGCACCTGATAGGTTGCGCCACCCCGACGCTTTGCTTTAACTTCAACAAGCGGTGTCACGTTCCGAATAGCTTGTTCTACCACAGAAACGGGGTCTTTCTGAGTAATTTCACCTACCTCTTTCATCGAAGAATAACATATTCTATATGCCAGGGGTTTCTTTCCTTTCCTCATAAGATGATTTGTGATCATCTCGATCAGGTGGTTCTGGTAAATAGGGTCTGGTAACAAAACCTTCTTTTTAGCGGCGCGTCGACGGGCCATATCTTAGGAATCCTCCATTGTTGATAATTTCTTTAATCGCAAAGTCTAGTAAGAGGCTAAGGACCTAAGGTCTTTAGCCCCACGAAGGGGTTCGAAGACCACCCTTCAACGGATTGGGGTTTGTTAGGGTGAGGAAGGGAGATGGAGCTTGTTGGCGTGGGGTTCGATGGGATGGGGGTTCGATGGGATGGGGGGCAAAGCCCCCCACAACCCGTGCATCCCTTGCACCCCTTTAGGGGTGCATGGGATGCAAGGCCGTGCATCCCGAAGGGATGCAAGAGGGGGCAGGGGCGTGGGGTTCGATGGGATGGGGGGCAAAGCCCCCCACAACCCTTGCATCCCTTGCACCTCTTTAGGGGTGCATGGGATGCAAGGCCGTGCATCCCGAAGGGATGCAAGAGGGGGGAGGTTCCCTCCCCCAACCACAACCCTTCCATCCCTTGCACCCCTAAAGGGGTGCATGGGATGCAAGGCCGTGCATCCCGAAGGGATGCAAGAGGTGAGAGATTACCTCCCCCGGAGGGGGGCAAAGCCCCACATGCAAAGCAACTACCCCCATCCCAACGAACCCCATCGTATCCAGCCTAGTTGGGCGGGGAGCCCAAAGGGTATCAAAGAGGCTGTGGAGTTTTACTCTCAACTGTCTGGCGTTCCGCCGAACAGCTCAGAGGCCTATGGGACCAATGAAACTTTATACGGCCACTGATTCGACTATCTTACAACACATTGAGAAGCGTGTGTGTCTCACGAGCAGATAGTTACGGTTTCGGGCGCTTTACCCCATATTTTGAACGACTCTGGGTGCGGTTCTTTACGGCAGCTGTGTCTAACGTCCCCCGCACAATGTGATAACGCACACCTGGGAGATCTTTCACCCTACCGCCGCGGACCAAGACAACCGAATGTTCCTGCAAATTATGACCGATTCCCGGTATGTAAGCGGTCACCTCAAAGCCCGTGGTTAGACGCACCCGCGCCACCTTGCGCAACGCTGAATTAGGTTTCTTTGGGGTAGTTGTGTAAACCCGGATACAAACACCTCTTCTTTGTGGGCAAGATTTCAACGCCGGTGATTTTGTTTTTCTTGATATCTCCTTCCTAGCTGTTCGGACTAATTGTTGAATAGTTGGCATCTTTTCATTTCTCTTGTAATAATGAGGCTTTCTTGGCTGCGGTCCTTTCTTGAATACGTGGCATAGAATCTCTTTGCGCTGCACTCAATCATTAATCTTTAACTTGTACGGTTGGTACCCTCCAACAGCGGGGCACCCGGGTTGTCTACCAACAGGCCATAGAATTTTGGGGTTCAAAAGACACTGACACGGGTTTCGAAAACCACTCGTGCAACGAAATGCTCACCACCTGTGAGGCCAGCGCGGGAACGGGTTGAGAAAGGATTTGAGGCTGAATCAGCTAAGGGCATCCTTACTTCCTGGCTCCAATCAGACAATTTTTATTGTTCCCAATACAATTCATAGAATATCATATATCAGTATTTGAAACAAATATCCAATCTCCGAATTACCCCAATAGAAACTTGTACTAGTGGGTTGTCCCGTCGAGTTTGAGATGACTTGCAAAATCTATATCTATTTATTAGGGTTGTATCTAATCTCTAATTGCTAATTGTTAAAAGTGGCAACTTTCTGTCAATCCGGAATCAAGCTACAAAGTTTGACATAGCGAGAATTGGTGACTCCCTGCACGTCCTCTAAAAAAGTCATCCATTACGTGAGAAGAAGGAAAAAAGGTCTATTGTTTCTTGTTATAATCTGCATGTCTCCTCCAATCAGGGTTATCAACCCCTAAAAGGCTGTGAAACGCCTTGAGGTTGGGGGTTTCGAAGGCCGTGGCCTCACAAAGGCCTCCCAGGCGTCAGAGGGGTTCGGCTGTGGGGGAGGGAACCTCCCCCAACCGCTGGACGGGTTCGGCGTATTGCTGAACGGGTTCGGCTGTGATTGGGGGAGTTGCTGCGCATGGGTTGGGGGAGTTGCTGCGCATGGGTTGGGGTTCGATGGGATGGGGGTTCGATGGCCTTGCATCCCTTGCACCCCTAAAGGGGTGCAAGGGATGCAAGGCCATCGAGGGGGCAGGGGCGTGGGGGAGGGAACCTCCCCCAACCACAACCCGTGCATCCCATGCACCCCTTTAGGGGTGCAAGGGATGCAAGGCCGTGCACCCAACTCGCTCAACGGGTTTGTTGGCCACCCATCCGACTGGGTTAGGGGCAAGGGTTCCTACAACCGAACACCGGTAAGGCCAGGCCGTGCATCTCTTGCACCCCATGCACCCCCTTTAGGGGGTGCAAGGGGTGCATGGGATGTAAGAGGGGGCCTATACTTCTCTTATAAAGTCTTCTTAGGCCTTGAAGAGCCAGATAAGCCTATCAGTCCTATGGAGATGTTTGCCCCAATTTTGCACAGAACATGAGAGATTAATGCCTCTGTTAGCCGGCCTCGCGGGGTGGGAAAATGGGAAAATCTCTTTCACTTTAGAACGAAAATACTAGTGGATCTGGGAAGAACCTGTTTATTTCAATTAACAACCCTGCGGTAAATGTAAACCATATCAGGGCAACAACCGGCGCAGTAGATAGATAAGTAGTAAAGTTTTTCATACTGGGGTTTAGACTAATGTTTCTGTGTGCTTGCCAAAATTTCTTACACAATGAGATTGCAAAAAATCGAATAGACAGAAAAAGCAAAAGCTGACAGGGCCAGCACTCTTTTAAGGTTGCAAAATGCAAGAAAGCCAAGAGACATTATCAATTGATAAAACTAAAGAGTGCTACATCTCTATCTCTCCACTTCTGCACCAAGATGGGGGAGCTTCTGCACCAAGATGGGGGAGCTTCTGCACCAAGATGGGAGAGCTGGGCTTGTTTTGATGCTACTTTGCAGCGAGCTTCTGTTCAATAAATTGTCCCCGAAGTCATGGCAGGGAAGGTAATTGACCATCGTAACTCAGAAACCCGTCCAGCGGTTGGGGGAGGGAACCTCCCCCACAGCCGAACCTCTGTGAGGCCTCAATTCTTACTTGAATTGGTTAGCGGTCAAGGCGAGATACACCTGCGGCCTTTAGTGAGCCTCCCCGGCCTTTACGGGGCTTTACGGAATGTATTGGTACCCATTTAGCGAAACACCAAACCCCTGTGAGGCCTGTGAGGCCTTTATGGGACGGGTGTGCTTTGCTAAGTGGGCCGGCTGCCCCCCGAAGCCGGCAACCTGTCGTTTCTGTTTTGTGTCCCTTTAACTTTCTATTATAAAGCTAATGGTCGAAAGAAGCCATCTTTTTACAAAGACGGCGCCAATAACAGGGCGGAGACAAACTGGGCTCCCGACGAATGCGGCCGATCGAATTACGAAGCAAGGCAATCGTTAATGCCCAATGCCTTAGGAACGGCCCCGGTCTACGCGACGCCTTTAGTTTAGACTTAGATCGCTACCCACTGATCGATACATCGCACACACCTCACAAATTCGGACAGTTGCTTTGCATGAGAGTTCCTATCCTCCTCTTGCATGCCATGCATCCCTAAAGGGATGCAAGGTCTTTAAGCGATGGGGGCAGGGGCACTCATGCAAAGCAACTGTCCCGTGCCTCCCTTCGGGAGGCAAGGGCTGTGGTGTAAGGTAGGGTCCCTTCCCTATCCCTCTTCCTCGACCTTGGCCTTGCATCCCATGCACCCCTTTAGGGGTGCATGGGATGCAAGGGCGGCCAACGAGCCCCATCACAACGAATCCCAGGGTTCATACGGTTAGCACGTGTGAGGCGTATCGCAATAAGGCCCAGTTGACGAGGGGGTCCGTTAAATTAAGAGATTTGTGACCCCTAATATAGACAAATTAGGGTTATCTCCCTATTGCAGTTATTCACACCCTGTAGGACTTGAACCTACGGCATCAGGTTTTGGAAACCTGCGTTCTACCAACTGAACTAAAGGTGTTTGGCGAAAAGGCCTTAGGGCTAGGATAGAGGCCCTTCCCGTTCAGCGCTTGGGGGAGGTTCCCTCCCCCACAGCCGAACCCCTCTGTGAGGCCAAACCATGCGAAGCAACCGCCCCAATTGGTCGGATTGCTCTGAACCCGTCGGGACGGGACAGGTGCCCGAGGTTTTGCCAATCGGTTGAGGCCAGACTTACGAGGGGGCTGGGGAGCCCCCTCTGTAAAGCCTAAAAGCTTTCCAATTTCCGCCGAAGGAATGGGGACAATTTCGGTGGTGTAGGGATGACAGGATTTGAACCTGCGACCTCCTGTTCCCAAAACAGGAGCGCTACCAAGCTGCGCTACATCCCTTGTTTTCTTCCTCACCTCTATACTTTACACCTTTAGGTCAAGTTTTGCAACCCTTCTGTTTCTTTTTACTAATCAGTTTTTGAGGCCCATCAATGGATAGAACGCCTAAAAAACATAATCTGTCGAGGAGACCCAGCTTGAGTACTGATGTGGGTTATATATAACAGTGTTACTTTTTTTATTCAACGGATTAGAACTCAATTTTTTGAATTATTACACACAGTAGCAAAACTAGTCAGGGAACCTTTAGAGGAAAAAGCTTTCTAGTTTTGCACAAAACCTTTATATTGTGTTTGCTGTGAAGATTGGGATAGAATACAAGTTTTACAAAAAAAGAAGTCATTTGTGCAAAACGGTTATTAGCTATAGTGTGGGGGTTGGGGGTTCGTTGGTTGCCCCCTCTTGCATCCCATGCACCCCTAAAGGGGTGCAAGGGATGCACGGTCGAGCCTCACAGAGGGATTCAGCGTTTCGCTGAACGAGTTGTGAGGCCCCGTCCCAACGAACCCCCCAACCCTTTCACTCAGCGAGGAGCCAAACAGCTCATCAAGCTTGTTTCCCGAGCGAGCCCTCCTTTCGCGGACCAAGCAAGAATATGCTCGATATAGGGCTCATCGTCTAATGGAACAGGACAGGAACTTCCTAAGTTCCTAATGTGGGTTCGATCCCCGCTGAGCTCAACGGGGCTAGCAAATGCACTCACGTCTGCCTAGGCTGGCAATAAAACCGTTTTATGCAAAACTCCACGTCGGTTGGATCGTGTAAAAAGGAGGAAACTGTGTTTCTTGGTGAGGAAAAACGGCTTTAACTTGTTTTTGCGGTGTAGGGTCTCTGACAAGCCCCAGGTTAATGATCCGTTTTAATTTTTATTTTATGATATTAAGAAAAGGGTTTGAAAGAACGGGAACCGACGTAAGAAGCAGCGCTGAGTTGTTCGTCCTGTATTCAATAGATGAGATCTCAGTGGCCCAATGGCTCGCCTGTCCTACTTCACGAAAAAGTGAAAATCTAAGCTGATACACCCCAACTAACCCATCAGTTTGAGCTTCTATACCCGCCTACTAATGGACCCAACCGAAGAAATTAGACCGGATAACTAATTTAATTCTTATCAATTATACTTTTTCCTTTAGAAACGATAACAAAAAAGAAAACACCTTTAACCCGACACTAACTACATTAAATGAAAGTCGGTCAGCAGGTTGACCTTGTACTGACCTCTTCCCGAGCCGTACGTGAAAGTTTCCCCTCATACGGCTCTCCAGCTTGTCTCTAAGTCCGATACACTTCTCTCTTAACTGTTTGTTGTTTCGTTCTCTGCTTCCCAATCTCGTAAAAACTTCTCTTGAAACCCTTCTAATTCTGAATGGGCTCGAATGTCTGGTAGTGTTGGATCCTCTTCTTTTGCCTTATGATAGGCCGCTACGTATTCGTCATATACGGAATACTTTGCTACATCTTTGCCACACCAGGGACAATAGTTCACGTATAGAAAGACTTGGGGTACAACTGAACTCCTTATAATGTAGTCTCTAGTGTGCCACTCGTAGTCTATTATGTCGCCTCTAGATACTTCATATTCCATCTGCCCGCAGCAGTAAGATATTGGTTTCCTGAGGTCGCGTTGGGAGTCATTCATGTAAAGGTTTGGTAATTGTTTCAAGAATTTGAGTTAGAAGTTAGAAGTTACGGGTTAAACCTTGCAGTTCGTTGGAGTTTGCGTTCATTGGTAGGCTTTTGCGCAATTCCTGTGTGATTGCTAATATCCCCTACACAGGCCCAATCGGCACCTTTAGGCATATAAAGATCTGCGTGAGTACTACTGTGCGGATGGCCTGTAGAAAATGTCTTCGTGACTTCTCAGAAAGTAGTAAACCTTCAATTCTTTCAGGATCTCCAGGTTCTCCCAGAGCCACATAATTTAACTTATGGTTTTGGTTGTCTCGAGCTAATCTTGTCGGTTTTGTGTAATGATTTATAAATGTGAAAGCTTCAATGTAGTGCCCTTCAGGAATAGTGTCATCGAAGATAAGTGCTTTGGGGTCGTAAGTAATCCCTCTGTTTAGGTTTACTGGTGCCTTTTCCTTTCCTTTC